GACTCAACTCGACTTTACTGCGAGCAAATGACTCGACTCGACTCCAGTCCCTTATCAAAGTACTCGACTCGACTCGAGCGAAGGCTGATGATTAAGACTCGATTGAGTCCCAAAAATACAAAGCGCAACTTTGCGAAAAGTATTCGCAATGACTTACGGTGCAAAATTTATGCTCACTTTACTTTGCGAATAGCAATCATGTACAAATAAACAAGTGTCACAGACTCCCACCTCATGGTTCTAGAACGCACAAATTACCATCCGGGAACCAGATTTTTAAACACATTTTCTAATTCGCTGTTTCATCATCGGTTTTTGGCGTTTTCTTATGGAGCTTTTGTATTTGAACGCTCGCTAAAGTTATTGCCTCCTTTTATAAATTTTGGTATACATAGTGTTCAAATAATCGTAACTCGAATTGACTCGAGCTAAATATTTGTCTCGACTCGACTCGACCTTTTGACCTATAAAATGACTCGACTCGATTCCGTCGAGTCACTTCTTTAAAATGACTCGACTAGACTCGAGTCACAAAAATCAGTGACTTGTTACAACTCAGTGGGTCTAGTGCTGATCCACTGGGAAACGTCGTCATGGCCGAATCTGCATTTTGCCCGAAATTTACAGGGTAATTTCATGACATCTTTATGTGACTATAGAATGTTTATAATGTGAGTTGAACCTTAATTATGGGTAATACTACCAATCTACATGTGATTTTAAGTGTTTCAAGTGTATTTCGAGTAATTCTGGGGAATTTGGCAGATTTTTGATAAATCTGACAGATTTTTTTATGTGCATTTAGCAGAATTTAGCTCTGACCTTACGGTCACACTGATGCGTACGCACATGAGTGTACGAGTACGGCGCCTACGTGTATCATACTCCGCCAAGTTCTCCGTCGTATTTTACGAACCAAACAGCGCGAGCGTACTGCAATGCTACCCGGACGGGCGGCCGGCGCCGTACACCATTTTCGCCCACTAGTTTCCCCCATTCCCAGTCTTTTCCTGGAATAGTAAACGGTGGGGGGGGGGGGGAATTAATTTAAGCAAGATTTGCCCTAGACGCAACCTCGTCCCCAGTGCTTACTTTATTTCCAACCTGGTTTCCAATAGTAAACCCTGGATAGGAAACTTCCTTCCTGTATCCTGATTCGATGCCGCAATTTGCTAGGAATGGTTTTATATCGTGTAGTTGGTGGTGTTAATTTCCAACGTGCATTACGTATTTTCACGATCATTGTATTTTAACGTCCACGCCTTTTCCAAATACTCATTTCCTTTCCAGTTTGCTCATATATAAGTGTGAAATGTGACACACTGCGGATTGACGGGCCAGATTGTAACATTTAACTTGATAAAGTCGTGCTTTCATAACTCACGGCGCGCGACCAACCAATGATGCTGTTTTTACCCCATACACACCGCATACAAAATCAAAACGCTAATGTAACGCACATACAGGCTCCAGACTTGCAATTGGGTCTATGATGGTTTTCCATGGCACATGCATGTTTATCCAGTATATCCCGGCAGTGTCCCCGCGAGCTGCCTTTAAATCTCCATGGTGTTCCCCATTGTGTCCATAATTTGTATCACCCACATATGGTGTTCCCATGGCGTCCGAATCCTCATGGTGTACCCATGTGTCTAAAATCCCCATGCTGTTCCCATGGTGTCCAGTAAATCCCCATGGTGTTCCCATGGTGCCATACAATCCCAATGGTGTTCCCATGGTGTCCATAAAATACGTGGTGTGTTCCCATGTTGTCCATAAAATAGCCATGGGGTTCCCATGGTGTTCCCATGGTGTCTATAAATTCCCATGGTGTTCCCATGGTGTCCAAAAATCCCCATGTTGTTCCCATGGTGTTCCCATGGAACTCGTAAAATCCCCATGGTGTTCCCACGTTGTCCATGCAATCTCCATGGTGTTCCCATGGGTTTCCCATGATGATCATTTTAACGTCGCCGTAGCCATGCGCGTCGGCAAAATGAAACACTTTTTTTTTTCAATGGAAAGATGATGTCTCAAAATCGCCCAAACTCACTGGTTTGACTGGAATTCTGCTGCTGCGCAATTTCAACGTGTTTTTTAGATGGGGTTATGATCGAGAATAAGCTTTATGTGGCCTCTCTGGACTCCCATAATATTTGCACTAAGTTTAGTCGGGCCACCATTTGCAGTCATCCCAGCCGACATTTGAAGCAAAAAAGTGGTGGGTTAAAAAAAAAAAAAAAAAGCCGCGTCGCCGCCCCACCACTTTGGACAAGCTCCATACCAAAAACCGGAGACATTTTTTTTGGGCCTTACATGGTGTGTTCTTAATGACCCCATGGGTTTCCCATGGGGTCCCATGGGAATCCCATGGGAATCCCATGGGATGCTCAGGGACATTTCTGTAAGGGTTTCTGCGCAGATTTCTGCGATTTGTCGCACATTTTATCGCAGATTTCTGCGCAGATTTCTTAAACGCTCACGTCTTAAATTGTAGGTCAGGCAGCCTCCGTGGCTAAAAAATAAACATGACGACATTAATGGCCTTTTTTAAAGCGCGGCTTCGTTTCCGATTTCGCTTTATCACTTGTAGCTTTTAATGTTCTGATCAAATCTTTAGATAAATCACTTGCTTCGTAATATCATACAGTTATGATAATACAGTTTGATGTTTTTGTAAGATAGCATTGAGTAATGTTGATCTGGAATCTTCAAAATTACGGAACCAAATAGCACTGTTAGCAGGCGGAGCCGAATGAAGACCGAGTTTTGGAAAATCTCGGTAACGGCGTCAAATTCAAAATTGTACATGACGCAGCAAAAGTTCGCCCGTCCAGTATGTCCGAGTATATTTGATGCACAAAATCGTCGTTGAATTTCAAGTTTTCTAGATGAAAACAATGAATATTAATTATCAACTCATTAAAAATAAAATAATAAGCAATTAGCAGTTAATTAAACCTATATTATATACTCGGAAATACTCGGGCACTATCCGATTGTCGACGAAACGACTTCGGCAAAGTTCGAAAATTTTCGGAAAAAGGAGGAATTCCTCCCGTTTTAGTCACGTGACGTAAATTGTAATACATTGTATTACCGGAGGCTACCGGACCTACAACCTCGTCCCCAGTGCTTACTTTATTATCAACTGCGTTTCCAATAGTAAACCCTGGATAGGAAACTTTCTTCCTGTATCCTGATTGGATACCGCAATTGGCAAGTAATGGATTTTTCATCGTGTACTTGGTGCTATTATTCACAACGTGCAGTACGTGTTTTCGCGATCATTCGTCCACGCCTTCTCCAAAATATACTAATTTCCTTTCCAATTTGCTCATATTAATATGAAATATGATATTGCATGTTTTCTCGATAAGATCGTAACAGTTTGATTTCAAAAATCGTGTGTTTTCGTAACTCACGCCGTGCTCGCGTTGCTACGAACTGACTCTGTTTTTACCCCAGACACCGCATACAAAAACAAACGCTAATGTATAACGCATATCCAGGCACCAGACTGTTCCTCATTTGCATACGTGTTAAAAAATCTTGCACATGCAAATGATCCAATACCAGGGTGAGAGAGCAGGTAGTGGTGGGCGCGTACTGCTCGACACCCTGGGGGACGAGGTTGACCGGACCTAAGATTCATCAGGAATAGTCTTAATCTTTTGGTCTGGGAACCAGACTATACTTTCGGCAGCCGACTACTATCCTATATGCAAAATTAATATCATGGAGACCAGAACCCCGACATTCTTAGACCCCTTAGCTTCAGCAGAAAAATAGCCAGGCGCCAGTGTGTTAAAAAGATGCAGAAATGTACGATAAAATTGTGCGACATCCGCAGATTTCTGCGATAAAATGTGCGACATCTCAACAATTTGCGATAAAATGTGCGACATCGCAGAAATCTGTGCAGATTTCTGCGATAAAATGTGCGTCATCGCAGAAATCTGCGATAAAATGTGCGACATCGCAGAAATCTGCGCAGAAATCTGCGATAAAATGTGCGACATCGCAGAAATCTATTTCATATTAGGTGCACTAAAAATGTACACCAAAAGCAAATGATACGCCTCCACATTCAGTCTGCACTTAGGCATTGCGAAGACAACGTTGTTCAAAATTCTATGGAAGTGTAGATAGGACATGGTTAAAAATAAAACTAATTCTTACGTACGAATTACTAAACCGTACGTACGAATTAATAAATCACACGTACGAATTAAATAGTCAGTGGCGTAGCCACGGGAGGCGGGGGGGGGGGGTCTGCGTGGGGGGCAGTGGCGTAGCCAGGAATTTTTCAGTGGAGGGGAGGGGGGGGGGGGGGGCTGCTGCTGGGGGGCTGGAACATTTCATGGGGGGTGTCATGATATGTTCAGTGGGGGGCGACTGGGGGGGCGACAAGGTTTCATGGGGGGGGGGGGGGGGGCTGTCACCCAACGCCCCCCCCCCCCCAGTGGGCTACGCCACTGCGACAGCCCCCCCATGAAACCTTGTCGCCCCCCCAAAGTCACCCCTCCCACTGAGATTTTGAGTTTCTAAAAAAATTATCATCGATCTACATGACGGCGCCCCCCCCCAACCTGAAATTTCCAGGCCCCCCCCCCCGGCGGCCCTTCCCCCCCCCCCCCCCCCACTGGAAAATTCTGGCTACGCCGCTGGAATACTAAACCGTGCGTACGAATAATAATCCGTACGTACGAATTAATAAATCGTACGTACGAATTACTAATTATTTCGTACGTACGATTTAGTAATTCGTACGTACGGTTTAGTAATTTGTACGTACGGCTTAGTAATTCGTACGTACGGTTTAGTAATTCGTACGTACGGTATAGTAATTCGTACGTACGAATTAGTTATTCGTACGTACGATTTAGTTATTCGTACGTACGGTTTGGTAATTCGTACGTACGAATTAGATTTATTTTTAACCATGTCCTATCTACACTTCCATAAATTTCAGTTTGTTGACTATCATTTCATTCTAGATCTTCACCAATCCCAGTGTTAATCACTGGTGCTCTGTCCCCGAGATACGGACCCAGTGTGGTGCCTGGGGCCTGGATGAGGCCCAGTGCGACCAGAAGATTATTGATGTGGCTGTCCCAACACTGAGTGGCAAAGGAAATGACAACTGTCGACGATACAACTGGACTGGTGTGGAGGTAGGCTCCTAATGGGTTCCAAGACCTTCGTGTTTCATCTTTTCACAGTTCACCGAGTCTTAAAGAACCGAAACAAGCATTATGCCATGTCCAGAAACAAGCACAGGAGGCCTTATTCATGAGTTGGCCATTTTTGTCGAGTTCCCTGAATGTATTTCATTAAGTGTTAACTGTTGAAAAGGATGGCGCCAGACTATTTATGCCTACTTTACCGTCATTTCTTTTTATTTTATAAATATGGCATGGGAATGTATAGGCCTGGGGAGTGTTTAATTACAAATGTTTAATTATTCATTTGAAGCAGACTGAAATTTAGTATAAATTAAGTTGCTTTCATTTCTCTTCGCAAGTTCCAAAAATTAAGATTTTTACCTCACTTTCAATTCAATACGGCCGACTCGTGAATATGGCCCATTGCACGATAAGCTCTGGCCCGGTTTGGGAATGTCCCACTTCATATGCGAAATAGACGCGCAGTGCGCATCGATCGAAAAAAACCTGATCTTCCCGAAAACCTTTCGGCAAGTGTGCGTTTATATGACCACGGCATGGCATTTACTCATTTGCAATTTTCGGGGACAGACAGACAAACAGACAGACACCACGACAGTAGACGAACAGACAGGCCGCCCAACAAGTGACATGGGTGAAAGCTCCTGCCAGAACTTAAAAAATCCAGACAGAGAAACCCAAGTTAAGTTGGTCTCAGAGCGCACAAAATTGTATTCTGAATGGCTATTCATCGCCAGAAGTTTTTTCATACTTGTGGTCTATACAAGGGGTCGTATTTAGCCCATTCTTTGCGTTATTTTAGGGGTGACCACATACGAAAACACTCGCCGACTCACAACTTACCACCGAAATCTTTGTTACTTGGCTTTTGATTAGGTAACGATCAACACAACAAGAGGAGAACTAAACCAGACCATCATTGACTGCAACGCAGGCTGGGACTTTGACCATTCAGTGTACAAATCCACTATTAAAGAACAGGTAAAGCTAAAGTTTTATTTTCCAATTTTGATTCGAAGTACTGTTCATGTAATTGATTAAAATATTAAAGTTTGAAGAGAAAAGCCCCACTTTACTATAAAGAAGAAAGTATGGGTAAATTTACTGTGTGGACTTCCGAACAAAAGAGGTCCACATAAACCAGGTAGAGGCGACGTTGTGTGGACTTGGGCAAGTCCACACAGTGTTTCCCCATTTCTGGAAAACAGGTTTAGAGGCATTTTTGGGTTAGGTTTATCCCTGGCAGAATGAAGAGAAACAAGTTAAAGGGAATCATAGACAAAAATTGGGTCGAAAGAGTTTTCACAGTTTGAGAAAAAATGATTTTTTTTCACTGGTTTTTCTTAACTACACGAAAGCAATGGAATGTCCACACTTGGTATGTAACGTGTTTATGGTGTAAATGGAGGACACACATGTGGAGCCTCATCGAGTAAATGAGGACAGGAGTCAAATCGAGGACGACCTCGTTTAGAAAACGTTTACAAAACCAACTTAGTTGGAGTGTAACGCAAAGGAACGAGGAAGTTGGAGTGTAAACGAAGGAATGAGGAAGAGGAACAATAGAAAATCCTCGTTTACACCATAAATGCGTGATGTGGGGGTACGTTCACGAATTGTTCAAACCGCCCATGCCAACACACAGCGCTGCCAATACAGTAGGCAATAAAGTACTCAGGCTATCGATGCCAATACGCGGTGCCCTGCTGTTGTACTCGGGCTGTACACACGAGTAGCATGGGGGTCTACCCGATGTTCCCCAATACCTACAGTATTCCAAATACCTATGTTCCCCCTCATTCCAAATACCTATGTTCCCCCTTAGGGTTATTAACCCCTTAGGGTTATTAGGGTTATAGGGTTAGGGTTAGATGGTTAGGTTTAGGGTGTGGGTTGGGGAACATAGGTATTGGGGAACATAGGTATTGGGGAAATATATGTATGCACCCGTAGCATATGGTTGTCCTTCACGGAGAAATTAGAGGCACAATATGGGAAATGGGCGGGGGGGGGGGGGGGGGTTAATGGGTGAGTTGTTGAAATATCGGGCTGATTGATGTAGTACTATAAGTTTGTTTTAATTGTCCTGTCAACTTTGTGTGCTTCTCGGTCCTTCATGAACCTGGTGGACCATGCCTTCCCGAACCTGGAGTTTGGCTGTGGGAGCGCTGACAACATTGGGACCATCTACCCCTACCAAAGACGTCAAGAGGTCAATGACTTCTGTCTTTTCAAATTCCCTGGATAAATAAGAACGTGTCCCATATTGTGCCTCTAATTTCTCGGTCAAGGACAATCATGCTACTGTCATGTCCCCAGTTCCCGTATACATTATAATGGCTACAAACTCATGCACGAATACGACGTTATTCAAACGCACTACTACTTTCTCACTCAAAGTTTCTCAACCTTTCAAATTGTAAACAAATCGGCTATATAGTCCCTAGTTTCAATAAGATAACAAATTTCATTATCTTTCAAGTCCATCGAGAAAAAACAGTCTGTGAAACAAAAATGTTTGTCCCGTTTTCGCGGCTTTGTCGCCGGCGTGAAACACCAGAAATGACCTTGGCAGTGGAGTGACTGATAACAAAGAAACCAACAGCTGTAACTTCCAAGAACAATAGACCATTATCATGTTGCGGTCATTGTTTTTTTCCCATTCATATCAACGTAACCAAAGCGAGGCTGGAAGGAATAGTCAGGTTCCTTTTTGTACAAAAATTGGATACAGGGCACGTGACTGCAATGGTCACGTGGCAGCATGATAAGGTCTATCGGGGTCTATGAATTAACATAACGTAACAAACTGTAGACAGGGAAGTTTTGCTTCTTTCCCAAGGAAATAAAAAGTAAGTATTTTACCCTGATGTGGCAAAACATATTTCATACACATATCTACTCAGAAAGTCATTTGAGTCCAAAAACAAAAATTGAATGAATGGGTAAAACATTGCGAGATGATTTCATGCCTTATAAGATGCCACTTTTGACAATAACAAATGTCTCCAATTACTTATCTTATTTGGTCCTTCTAAACAGGGTATTAGTTTTTGGCTTTTCCGCTTATTTGCGGAAAAGCCTTTGTTTCTGTACTTATTTTTTTATTAGGTGTTGGGCTTTAGCCCAAAACCTATTGTTTTTGCTAGGGTTTTTAGTTTTTTTTTCTTCTATACATATTCCTTCTCCAGAACTGTGTGTCAAAATGAAAACATATATGAACTTCAATTGTCAATACATGAATGCACAACCTACCGCAGATTTCCTTTTTTGCAATTACGTAATCATGACGTCATCACGGGTCACGTGACGTCACTTCAAAGTTTAATAAATTTAATCTTTGAAATTCCATATAAAATCAACCGTGAGAGACCGGAACCTGAAATGTGCAGAATCGACATGGTAATACATGATCTTCATTTTATCCTGTTCGTGTAAAATCACGTGACCCTTCCTTCCGGTCGAAACCGGAAGTGCCTAATAATTTAAAAGTGGAAAAAGATATGAACTTGCTTTTTACGATTTAAGTGTCTGCCTGGATTGACCTTTCAAAAAAATAATGGGTGACGCCATGAAGTGTTGGAGCGCCCTCTAGCGGCAGGTTAAAAACGTCAAAAACGCATTTTCACTTGATGTCTGTGGCGAAGTTTGCGGTAATCGCTTCAGAATTAATGTACATGATGACCATTATGCAGACAACACCTGTGCGCGAAAAAAAATTGATTACGTCATCAGACCGGAAGTAACAACAAAAAGACCTTTAAATCATAAAAAAAATTGCTAGAAAATATACCGTGATAGATATATAATCAAGATGTGGCTATATATAGCACAGTAAATATAGCTCTGGAGGTTTCTGGCAATGACGTCACAATGACGTCATCAAGTGTCATATTACAAGCAAATAAAGATTTCCATATTTAATCTTTGAAAATCAATATAAAATCAACTGCCACAGATTTGATTTTGTTTTTATGACTATTTATACAATTTTGCAGGGTCTTCATTTTTGGTATTAAGTGCAAAATCACGTGACCCTTCCTTCCAGTCGAACCGGAAGTGTCTTATAATTTGAAATTGCCAAAGGATGTGAACTTGCTTTCAACGATGTGAAGCTCTGCCTAGGCTGTACTTTACAAAAATATTACAGGTGACGTCATAAAATGTGACAGCGCCTCTAGCGGCATGTTGACTAAGTTAAACATGGATTAAAACATGCATTTTCAGTTGATGTGTTTGGAAAATTTTGCGGTAGTCCATGGCCCAACACCGTGTGGTTGTTCCTACAACCTCTAGTTATTATTTTTTTTTTTCCTCTTGGGACTTCCAACCAAAATGCCATAGACTTTGTGCACGTTTTTTCTGATCGGCACTTTTTGCATAAAGCATACTCATATAACATTGAAACTTTACATAGTCAAAGAACATATAGCGAAGGTCTTTCGCGAAGATAGACGCAATGATGACGTCATCATGGGTCATGTAACGTCATCTTAAAGGTGCATACTTTAGGGCTCTATATCGCGAGAATGGTAAGGGGCCATTCAGAATTTTCAGTGTTTTAAAATTTCGACTTTTTATCCAAATTATTTTGACCCACCCACCCACCCCTAATTTCGATTAATAAAAAACTGATTTGTTAATATGCAGAAGTTAAAAAACAAACATGTACATGCACTTGCATGTACCCATGTATTTCACATGTCATCCAGAAAACTTTTCAGTGACGGCGTGATATCGTCTGTCTTCCGTACCAGTGCAAGCGAGGAAGACAGACAACATCACGCCGACGTGGCCTTCAGTTTTCTTGTGTTTTGCCAGCTGATATGCCGTTGGGAATGACAGGTTGCAGTCTTGGAAGCCGCAAAGATGTGTTTAGTAGGAAGGGGCGTAATCATACATGTCGCCACTACATTTAAAGTTACATGGAATGGAGTTTGGCCGCCACCATGCATTTAAGTTTTTATCAGACTTGTGTTTTCTTAAAAAGAAGTGGTTTTCTGGCTAGGAAAATAGCAAGGAAGAACCGGTTTTGTGCAAGCAAAATTCAGGGAATAATCTGTTGATATTAATAACTTGTTGGAAAGTTCCAAGGTCATTCCAAGAAAGTTGCCGCCGTGAATTAGGGTTTAAAACATGGGAGGGGGATGGGATTTGCTATCAGCATCAGCAGGGCCGCCGTTCCTCATTCTTCTTTTTATGGGATGTATGATAATGTAGCGGGATCCTACTGGGCTCTTGTCCGCCAAATCCGGCCAAACGCAAGAAAAGGGGACAGACAGACGGGATTTCTAACTCTGAAGGAAGATCTCATTTATTTCGCCAAGCGGACTCTGCGGCCAACTTGCCACACCGCTACCAGAACTGCAACTGATCAATTCCCAGCATATACATGCACAGTTTCACAAAATGTATTACAATGTTACAACTTTACCCAACCCTGGAATCCAGCCAAGTTCTTCCCGCGCAATTGAACAAAAGAACCCCACTTAGCCAACCTATTTGTAGAGCCTATTTCCGGAGCGCGCGCTAGCCAGACCCAAATCCAGGTCAGGTGCGCGCCGCCGGAGCCCCTCCGCCGGAGCACTAGTGCTAGAAAGCAATGACAACAAAAGTGTGCATAGACTGTCCGTTACACTACCCCCTCCTTAAATTGGGCCTATTCTCCTGAATAGGGGCACATATACAACACATTTTACATGATTCTTTTTGTTCTTTAACCCAACATTGGGTGTCCTCAAAGGATGTGGAGCAACGTTGATCTGGTCCCCCAAATGGTTACTCAGATCAAACATTAATCCAGCAATCCATGATGACAACCTCTTCAACAGGGAAACATTTTAGAAACAACATGAGAAATCAGACACTTTACTTTGTTTATCAATGGGTGTCCTCAATGGAAGTTGATCAGCGTTGATTCTAGTCCCCAGACTGGTGCACAGAATCAAACAATGATACAACAAACCGTGATGACCAGCCTA